CGTGCTGTCCATGGTTTACCACACAAATCTCAGAGGAGCACAACAATACGCTGTCTGAGCAAGCAAATCTTCCCGGGCTAAGCACGAAATCTGCCCGAGGAATCTGCAACTCATTAGCACAGAAGTTCAAAGTTGTTTCATTTTCCTTCCTAACAGTTGGTAGAGCTGCCTGCATTCCATCATTCTGAGGGCAGCAGCTCTTGAAACAGTCTCAGCACTGCCCTTCCCGGGGCTGACACAAAGAGCTGTGTTTTCAGGCATCCTGCAGTGTAGCAGGTACATTTCTCACTTCAAGTTTCTCTTTCAGAAAGCAGCAGGTAACAAAATAACTTCGTTATATTTTTATGAAAAGCCACGGGAAAACAAAGTAATGCTGTTTCTACCAAACCCACTTCCCACTAATTCCTGACTGATGAAGAGCTAGGACCCCAAGGATGAAAAGTGGAATAATATGAATAATTACAAAGATGGCTTCCTTTTGGAAAACAAGCCCATAGGAAACTCTTTTGATTTACATTAATTTGCTACACGTGTGTACAGCCTGGTTGACTCCAACTGGGTACATGGGCCTGTGAAGAATCTGGTTGTTTGTTTGTTGGAATGGAGACTCAGGGTGATTCTGCTCTCTCAAATTCCCTGGCCAAATAACGGAGGTATTTCTCTAGATGTCAGACAAGCAGCTAAGTGCATCAGCCCTGCCATTCCTTGCACGCCAAACCGTAAAGCACATTAGGAAAAACATAAAGATGACCTGAAGATTTTCCTAGAAAAGCACATCTGGGCACCCCTCTGCTCACTGCTTTTGTTGTCTGGCTCGGTGAACTTCTGGTCCTCCCCTTGTACATTAAATGAAGCGTGAGGGAAACCCTTGAAATTTTCAAGGATCTCTTTCCTGAGCAAGATTACTGAAAAAACATCTGTAAAATTTGTTACTACCTGTGAAAACTGTGCTCTGCCAGTCCATGAAGGCTGTGGAAGGACCCAAGGGAAGCGAGATTGATGTGTCTTTAAAAATGGGTTTGGACCTTTGTCTCAGAACTGATCAGAAACAGTAAATGGGCTGCTGAACGAAGTGAATTCCCGTTACAGTTCACCTACAGGAAGTATGTTTTTCCTGGAAAAAGCTGTGAAGCAGCTGGCAGATGAAGCCACTTTCTAGGAGTGGAGCCACCCCTCCAGTCAGCCTTGTACAAAGAGCAGCACAAGGGCTTGGCCAGCAATCAGAGCAGTTTTTTCACCGATTGCTTTCCCAGATACTTTCTTTCTGACAAAATTCAGAACACTTCCCTATTTCCATGGATTAAAACAAAACAAACAAAAAACCACCACCAACAAGAAAACAAACAAACAAAAAACCCATAACTTTTCTGTCACAAAATCATCTAGTGTGGAGAATTATAAGAATGAATGAAGATAAATATTTACCCACCTTGAGCTATAACCTGTGATTTTCGATTACTTGAATGTGAAATCTTTGCAACACCTTGCAAAGAAAGGGATTTATTACTATTGATTCTGCTTATGACAATTTTGAAGAACAAGTGCTACCCTGAGTACATAAATTTCCCCTCAGTGCTTGTCCTGAAAAAACGCGTCCTCCTACACATCCTGAAACTCTGAAAGTTAACTGAGACAGAGGGGGAAAATCCCAAGGGATTTTACAGAATGATTGGATTGAAACTGTGGTAATGCTGCGGCAACTTCAGCAAGAAGTCAAGATACACAAGAATACAAAGAGCAGAAACTTCAGCTTTGTCATAGAGGCACCTTCAGCTATTGAATTAACAAGGTAAACAGAAACAAAGGAAAAAAAAAGTTTTCAAATCAGATTCTACCTGGACAGGCAGGATAAAATCTGCTACAGTAACAGCAGCCCTGCTTCCTAGTTCAGTTTGGCACCAGCACCAAGGAAGGTGTGAGTGGTGCAAGTGAGGAAGCTGGCCCTGGTGGTGGGGTCCTTTTCAACCTTGATCTCTGCACGCTTCTAAGAGCAAAGGGCAGCCTGAAGCACACACCTATTGGTACGAGGCTGAAATGCTGAGAAGCCCCACGGCGAAGCATCTTTCCATTTGGGAAGTGTTAATGTGTGATACAAAGGTTTTTGCCTTCCAAAGCCACCATACAGACCAGAATGCCAAAAGCAATTAGTACAACGTGCACGGCAACACACACAGACACACAGACAGAGTATTCTCCAGGGTACTTCTATGTGAGTGTAACCACCATGCTGGGAGAGCCCCCTTCCCCTTTGCAAATTTTCCCTGCCCCTGGCAGAGGGAGGTTGGAATGAGATGATCTTTAAGGTCTTTTGCAACCCAAAACCATTCTATGATTCTATGAAACACGTTGCCTTTTTAAAGTGAGAAAAGATGCTGGGTAGGAACAGTGCAAAAACATTCTTGTTTAAAAATTATAATTTATGCTTTGATGGTTTTTTTTTTATGTTACAGGTTAGGTGGTGAGGGGAATGAGAAAGAGGGAGACCCAAATTCCACTGCTGGACTCCTGCTGCCCAGCTCTGTCCTGGCAGAGCTGAGAGGTCACCCACGGGAAAGGAATAAACAAAGTAGTAAATTCCATACTACAGGAAGTATCAGCTTAATGACTTATCCCTTTCCTCCAGTGGAGCTGGGGTGAGGGCAAATGCAAGCAACAAGCAACCTAAGGGCTGGAACAAGTCCTCCAAAGATTAACATCAAGCAGCTGTGATACCTTCCCTCCTGGGCTACGTAAGAGCTTTGGCATTTGCTCCCAGAAATGACCACTCTGCTGTGCAAATATGTTAAAGTCCAGGGCAAGAGTCAGAAAATAAAACCCAATTAGAAGAGTACTCTGAAGAAACACATCTAAGTAATGATGCAGAACCTGTGCTGGTTCTTCTGTTAAAAAAACAGATAAATAATCACGGGGGGTGGGGATAAAACATGTGCCTTGTATTGGAGGGCTAAGCAGCATCTCTGCAGTTACAAATTGCATTGCACCGGTGCTAAGCAGTGATGGACGGACCTGAATTCTCGCAGAGGTTGCATTTAGTCACCTACCCAAACCCCCTCTGCATCAGCACCACAAGTCAGTGGTCAAATCTTCCACTTCCTGATTCCTCAAGGCGGATCCCGAGCATTCCCAGCCCCTGTTCCCTGGGGAGGCAGGGGCAGGCAGGAGTGGGGGTTTACACTGTGCTGGCAGTGACACTGTCATCAGGACACAGGGAATCGACCCCTTGTCATCGTGCATAGAGAAAAAAAGACAATTTTTGTGTGTGTCTCAGGGCACTCACTATTTTACTGCGCTGAAATACAATGCCCCTTTTTCATCGGCAGAATAATTGACAAATGCATTATTTCCCCTTTCACTGCCTCAGAGCGGGAATGAGTTAGAGTAGGCCTGAAATAAATCCTCTTAAGCCAGTTATGATCCACTACTTCTACTGTTAAACTTCCAAGTGATTAACATGCCTGGTACTTAAAGGCAAATGATGAGCAAAACACTGTTTGTTTGCCCAGTAGCAAATACCTTGACACACAGGAAAGCAGCTCAGCCTCTGTAGGTACCTGCTCTGCCTGGCACATGTAAGAGCAAATATTCACAGTTATAAACAGAGCACTGCAATTCCCGTTGGAAGATCCATCTACAACCTACCTCATCTTTCCCCACCAGAAGGGTTTTTTTTTGTTATAGTATTAGCAATGTTTAATAATTAGGGACGTCCAGATTCCTTCTTTAAATTAAAAACCCAACCTCCTAGAACACAAATGTGTTCTTTTAACAGCAAGCCCGAAGTGAAACAGACAAAACAATAAACAACAAATTAAAAAACAACTTTCCTGTCTCACACTGCTCAGACAAAACGTCACACTCAGCAGCTTAGGAGAGATCTTCAGTAATGTGACAGAAAAATTCCTGAAGAGTGAAGTGAAGAGACTGAGGACAACTTGGGTTTTGCCTGTACCATTACGTACCACATTTCTTTCTGCAGGAGGATTGGTGACATAAGAGCCTTCACAAAAACACGTGGGGACTTCAGAAATCTGGTGTGCCTTTAGCAGTGGAACGGGAAGAAAGAGCTTCCCCACTGCACGGTCAGGATTTACAAAGGTGGCACCGAGCTCAGAGCCCTCAGATTGCCAAGTCAAAACAGAGGCAAGAAGGAATTGCAACCAAGCAGACCTGAACAGCACGGGTGCTTCCTCTGCCCCACCACGTGGGTCTCGCTAATCCTCCACTCCCACCACATGGGAAGGTTTTTTTCCCGCTGGCCTGAACCACGCTGTGGAAAACGGGATCCAACACGGAGTGGCTGGAGCGGGAAAGCACAGGCACTGTGCTCTCATGTGACCTGCCACAGCCTGTGGGAATCACCCTGTGCACCAGAGCATGAAGAGTGACTCCCGTGTTTAATGTCCACATTGCTGCTGCTTGGCTTTTCTGTGCTTCAGAAAGGGGTGAAGAATGCCTCTGACCTGAGGCACCTCGGCGCTGCTATCACAGATGCCACAAATGTTATGAAGCTACATCTGAGGGGAAAAATTAAACAAACCCAAACAAACAAACATATTTTTCCACGGTTTTTAGCTTATGCTCCTGGTTTCAGACGAAACTTCTATTTCTGCCCATAACCACCTTTGCTGATACTGAAAAGGATCTTTCCTCACATGTCATGTTCTTAATAGGCAAAAAATCCCTCGGGGTTTACTGGGAGTTGGGTTGCCAAATGTTTTAGGATTGCTGTAAAGTACAGAGGGGAAATATAAATAGAATAAAACACAAGAAGAATAACGTTTGCTCACTCAGGCTTTCAGCACAGACCAAGGACAACCGAATTCTACAAAAGAGAGGGCAGAGGAAAAGGGAAACACAAACAGGCCTTGAGGAGTTGCCAGTCCAAAACCAGCTGCATTCACACGGCCCATGAAGAAACCCCCATGAACTTGAACCCCTCCTGCTTCCCCACAGCATCAGCAGAGCAGGGACACCCCATCTCCCCTCACAGCGACCCCCAGGTTACCTGTGTCATCAAACACAATGGGCTGGCAGTTCCTGTTGGAGTTCCAGTTGCATTTGAGCACCTGCCCTCCTTCCACAATGTTCTGCTGGGTGGTGTTTGCTTTCGGAGCTCCCACCAGGAGATACGTCCTGCAGCGAAGAGAAGAAATGAAACAAGGGTTTCGACAACTAAGGCACAGGTGTTGTTACTTTATGGCACCTGAAGAGCTAATAAAGCAAAAGCCTTGCCCACTCAAATACAAATCTGACTAGAACTACTCTGAGTTTCAGAGAAATTCATAGGAGGTCTTAGGTCTTGGGTCCTTAAGCAGGCAAAAACCCCTCAGAAACGTTTACCATAAAGAAGAGACAAAGAAGATAGAGAAAATTAAATGGTCCTGTGCTACTTAAAATGATATCTAAAATTAAACAAACACATTTTATATTCTTTTCTTTTTTCCCTTTAAAGCAAACAAACAAACAAACAAACACCAACGCTGTGGATGCAGCAGAACAGGAAGCCACGTACTCTTGCAATTTACGAAAGCCATCAGTTGACACAATTTCTGGCTAATTTTGTGCAGAAGGGTAGCTCAAGGAAGTCAGTCAGAAATGGAAGCAACGTCTAAACAAAAGCAGTAGAGCACTCTGAGCTCAGCATGTTCTCAACGTGATGAGTCAGCCTCCTGTGAGAGAGCGCTCTTGTAAAAACAACCCCCGAGCAGCCGAGCGATCAGCCAGGGGTTTGTATGCTAATGAGCCGCTACCGAAATTCATCGCACAGCCATCAGTTTCTCGTTAGGATCTGCTGCGCTTTTCTACATCTCTGCCGGGACACCGAGCCTGCACAGGTGGCAAAATTCAGGAGCTGCAAAGTCAGAACCGGACCAAACGAGGTTCCTGGGGTCTTCCAAAAATCTCCCAGGAACCCCAGGACCTCTGAGACGCACTTCACTCATCAGCACTTCCTTGAGGAAGTCAATTTGAGGCATAAAAGTGTGTATAGAGGACATAAGAATCAAATGCTTCCTTTCCTCAGGATCTGTCTGCTCCTTGCTTCCCCTCAGAGTGCCTGAGAGAGGACCCAGCTTGCAAGAGCAAGTCTTATCAGGCACTGTGGTTCTTCAGTTTTGAAATTGGTTTAGCTGAACAAGCTGCAGGACTGGTTGGAGGGGATGTCGACAGGCAAGCAAATCCAGGCTTATCAAACTTGCTGGTTTCAACAGTCATCTCCAGGCTTGGAGACGGAAAGAGCTCCAAGCTCTTTTTGGTACAGAGCTGAGTTAATGTTTCTTAACGTGTAAGCACCAGGTATAAACACGTAGCACCTCACCAGCGCTCAATTCATACGAAGACCAACACAAGCTACTAGTTTTCAACCTGTGTGAATTTTCAGAACCTTAAAAATTTCCTCGCGTGGACCCTGATAGAAAATCCAGGCTCGCTGGCAACCCATTTGTTTTCCTTAGTTGCCATTCAGAGACTATCTAGATTTCAAGGACAGGAATTTGGAGCGCTTTAATCGACTTAAAATGTTCTCTCTGGGCTTAAAAATAAACACCATAATGCCAAGTAAAGAAACGCATCAATTATTATAATTACAATCCATTAAACAAGCTACCGAGCTCGTCTCCTGTTCTACTCTTGCACTACCAGCTTTCGAAGCACCCCCCAGACACAACACCACCACTCTGACTCCTGGAACAGGACTTCCATCCTGGACTTCTAAATATGCTTTAGTTTGGCATCCAGCAGGTCAAAATAGACTATGAAACAGCAGCTTGAGCATTCAAGAACTAATAACATGCCTTTGTTGTCAGGCTAGTCAATCCAAACAGCTTCGGCTCGGCTAAACTGACTTGGTCTCTCATACTCATGTAAAGGACAGGTGATAAACTCACCAGAGCAAAAAGAAAGGCATAGCTTAGCAAGCACAAACAAACTTTCAGTGACAACAAAAAAGCTGAGGAGAAAATTCCCTTACAAATATGCAGCAGTCCACCGTGCTGCCTGAAAACCTCACTGTTCTCTTTCATAGCAGTGCACTTGGAGGTCAGCAGTTCTTATAAAAATAATGGAAAGCTTCCAAATAGTGATTTCATGGAGACCTGGGTCACATAATTCCTTATCAGAAAGCGAGGAAGAAAGTTTACTACGGGCATTTACCACTCTCTTGATAACTCTGCAGCCACACATGCTGACTTAAAAATACAGGGAGGGACAAAAATAGAACTTTTTTTTTCTTTTAGCACAAAGGCTTACAGGGTTAAGATAGCACAGAAAGATGGTGCAAGTCAAGACAGGGCGGCTTCTAATATATGTAGGCATTAATGCAATGCAAACAAGGCTAGATGATGTACTGCAAAAAAACTTGTTCAATACTTAGAGAATTTGTTAATGAGCTAAAAGTTAAGGGGGAGAGAGAGAATATCCCCTCAGCACGACAAAAGCCAGCAGCTTTTCCAGTTTTACAGCCCCTTCCTAAGATTGGAAAGGAGTGGGGGGAAAGTGGCAAAAGCTGGATGTTACTGTAGCCCCGCACTTGAGAACCACAGCCCGATTCATTCTGGCAACACGAGGATTCAAAGGTCTGAGACGCGCCAGCTACTCACATTGCCTTTGACGTGAAACGGGAACATATGAAACGGGAACATATGCAGGAAGCAGATGTGGAAGGTGCTTACATGCAACTTTTGGTTCCCCTTGCTGCCTCCTCAGCTGTTCAGTGACCCGCACAACCCGAACACGGCACTACCGCAAAGCGCACTCAAACCAGAGGACGGCAGAACTCCCCAAACGCCACCACCTCACGAAGCAAAACCCCATAACCTTCATCTTCCTACGCTGTGTTTACCATCACCACCCTCCGCACGACAGCAGGCTATGCTGTCCATCGCGCAGCGCCGAAGCCCGGGACTGGGTCTGGCTCCCCGGGAAGGGGGTCTGGGCATCCAGAGCGGCCCCGGGGATGAAGGGATGCGGACTGGTCCTTGCTGGGCAGCGCCGGGGAGGGGCGCGGCTCGCTCCGAGCCCCGGGGGTGCTGAGCAAAGGCTCCGGCCGCTCCCGGCCCAGCTGGACCAGCGGCACCGGGACTGCTCCGGCCGCAGCATCGCCCTCCCCTCCCCATCCCCGGCCAGCACAGCACCGCCCCGGCTCCAGCGGCTCGGCGGGGCAGGAGAAGGGACGGGCACTTACGAAGACGGGTCGGGAGCGAAGAAGTCCACGGCGAAGCCGAAGTAGCTGCCCGCCGGGCCCGAGTAGACGGCCGGGCGCTCCACGTCCAGGTTGAAGGCACCGGCGGGGCGCAGCGCGGCGCCCAGCACGACCAGCAGGACCGGCATCGCCTCCGGCAGCAGCAGCATCGCCCGCAGCCGCGCCATGGCCCGGCCCCGCTGCTCCGGGCGCGGCTCCGCCGGGATGGGATGGGAAGGGACGGGATGGGACGCGGCGGCCCCGGCCGAGGGGGCGGAGGGGCCGCGTTTCCCGCGGCGGGGCGGGGACAGGGACGGGAGGGAGGGAGCGCAGCCACTTCCCCTTTCGGCTCGGGACGGGCCGGCAGGAAGGAGAGGCGGCATCATGTGGTGCCGGGGGCGGGCTCTGCTCCGCTCCCAGCCCGGCCCGCCGCTCCTTCCGCCCGCAGCCGGGGGAGCACGGCCCTGCCCCGCCGGGAACCCGGCATCACCCTGCCCCAGACCAAGGGAATCCTTCCCTGGGGGGCGGCGAGCCCCTGGCACAGCCTGCCCAGGGAAGCCGTGGCTGTTCCCACCCCTGGCAGTGCCCAAGGCCAGGTTGGATGGGGCTCTGAGGAACCTGGGATAGTGAAAGGTGTCCCTGCCCACGGCACGGGGGTTGGAAATAGACGATCTTCAAGGTCCCTTCCGACCCGCAGACCATTCTGTGGGTCCGCGAAGCAGCGCTAGAAAGTAAGAAGAGCGGGACACATCCGTGCCTGGTCGCGGTAGGTCCTTCTGCTAAAGCCTTTCTGAACAAGGCTGGTCTTTAAGGAAAGCTGTTAACGCAAGCACAGAGTGAAGCAAGTGCCAGTGTGGACCCAGCCATGGAGGGGAAAAACCCCTAAGGCATATTTTCAAGCACATAGGCTATTAAACGAAGCAATTTTAAATGCCAGGGTCACAGCTCCTCCCCAGCAACAGGGGATGCCCGGCAGCAGGTGCAGAGCTGAGTCTGTAAATCCTCCCTAAGGGGGATCCTGGCTCTTGTTCCTGCCCACCTGGGGAAGCAGCATCCGGTGCAGCCTCAGTCTCTGCAGTCGCAGCCTGTGGCCCTCGGATCATCTGTCACCAACAGCGTTCCAGCACTATCAGCACAGCTCGGGCAGCTGGAGCCTGCTATCAAACCCGTCCTCCAACATTTGCTCCATACAGCACTGTTTTGGGGTAAAAGAAAACATGCTGGAGCACTTATAAAGTGAAAATGGTTCAGATTAATTCAGAATATTAATTTGTATATCGTAACAGCATTGTAGTTTAATCACCTCTCCCCTATTACCATGAAAAGTCTTAACTTTTAGGTTTGCTTTTTTGCATGAACAAAAGGAACAATAAATAATGATGCTTTTCGAGCCCTAAATAAAAGTTTAAAATATCCCACACGCATTTACCAAGGGACAGATTCGGTGTTACAGGAGTCCTGAAAGAAAAACAGTTATGCAACAAGCACAAGAAACCCCACAAAGTAATCCATGAAAAAGTCCCAGAAAGCATTTCAGGTTGCAGAGAGTCTGCGCTGAGGCCTCTAATAGAGAGGATTAATTGTAGCACAGTAGCTGCATCAAGGTGAACACCCTCCCTTGAGGGTTCCACTCACTTGTTCTTCCCATTAATTGATAATAATTCCTTCAGGGAGCCAACTGAAAAATTATTTATTATCAAGAAATGGGGGAAGAGTTCCTATACCTGGACATGATACTTGTTACTAATTTTCATAACTTTGTGGCCTCCTTATAGGTAGAAAAAGAAACATTACCAAGGACTTTTATTTACTGACTTCTCCCACAGCTTTTGTACTACAGACCTGATCAAAGCATATGGGTTAATAAGTTCCCAAACTCTAGCAAAGAGGGCAATAAAAGAGAAAAGAAAAGAGTGGTTTATGAGTACCTTGAGAAAGTAGCTTAGGGAAAGGGAGGATTTGTTTGCTCTACTTGTCTGTGGAACTTCACAGCGTTACACAAGCAGCAAAGGATAAGTTGGTTTTAAGATATTAGATTTTTTTTTTTTTTACCATATGATAAATTTTTCCCCCAGCCTCAACAGGGGGAAATTTTTGTCAGTATTCAGTTTTAAACACAATTATTTTGGAATCCTTTGGCGTCTAAAGAACTGCTTTCCGTCATTCAGCAGATAAAACTAGTATTTCTGTTATAACTTACTACTCTGGCTGGTTTTTACTCATCAAGTTAGAGGTCTTGTTAGTTTTTTACTCGTCCAGTAAGTTATTAACACAGCTGAACAGAACTTTGCAAGATGTACCAAAGGATTCATATTCCTTCAGTCAGAAGAAGTTTTGTCATTCTAACTTACACATGTGACTCATTTTTTGCTTCACAAAGCACTTCAGCAGATTAACAAACGTATCCAGACGTTGCTCAGTAACGCCCCCCTCCCCCTCCCCGAAGGCTTAAATATTTTTAAAAGATATTTTTAAACAATGTTATCACTCCGGAGAAAAGGATTGACAGGAGATGACGTAATAAGGGAGAAACAGATCAGGGAAAAAAACAAAACAAGCCAAAACAAACAAAGAAACCCGAGCTCTGTAATATTCTCTGCACAATCTCAGTGAACATGAACACACCACCCCACAGGGAAAAGCCTGGGAAGTCGCCACACCTATCCCAGAAGCAGCCCAGTGATGGAGCTCCCAGGACACAGGCAGGGAGAGATGAGGATATGAGTCTTCTGCTGGGAAATGACTCAGGAGGCTTTTCAGACGGGGCTGGTGAGAATTTGCTCATCTGGAGAGTACAGAGTTGGTTTTCCTGCTTCCAGAGTGGGAAAAGAGATGTTGCATCTGAGTATCTTCCCTAAGAACCTTTCCCTTTCTTTTGCCTGCTACTGTTTTCCCAACAGTTCCCAGTCCTGTCCTCTCTGCTGAGACCATCAGCCACAGCAAGCGTGTCCATAACCCACACTCAGAGGTTTCATTTAGAAAGTGGAAGTGGCTGTTTCTGGCAGAAACACTTGTGGACCACTATTCTGCTGGGGCAACGAGAAACAGAGCCTTTCCCTGCAGACACCATCTCCAGGCACTGAACACAGGGGTCACTTTCTAGTTTATTCCCATTTATGGAGAATTTACAGATGACAAGAGGCATTTTTTTTTCTAGTTTTCTTACATTCTTGCCTGCTTCACCAGAGACCCCACTGCTTCCTGTCATATTCCTGAGCTGTCCTGCCACCCCTGTCTTCAGTGCAAATAACCTCCTATTTAGTACAAGTGACAGCTTCTTGTGTACAACTTTTGAATCTTTCTGCTTTTGGGGAATTTTTCACTGATTTTTTTTTTCCCCCTGTTTTTTTTTTTCCCCATCGTGCATTTTCAAAGTAATCTAGCAAAGGTCAGACTCACAGAGCTGTCACCTTGAGTTTTTAATCTATCATTCCAGGCACATCTGCCTGGAAAGCACCTGTCCTCTCGTGCTCCTGTGTTACAGTAACGTTTCCACGTTCCTGCTAAAGGATTTGGAACAAAACCAAGTTTAAAACTTACAAATTCCCCGGGAAAGAAATAATTCTCCGGACTGCTCTGTGCTTAGTAACGAGCTCAGACTTAAAACATTTTGAAGATTCGAACAGCAGAATAAGAACAGGATGCAGAGCAAGTGGGATTGAAAGGCAGGGGAGGAGTTAAACTAGGGCCAAGCTCCTTTCTGTCCAATACTCTGAATGTTCCTTTACTCAAATACAAAAGCACTGAAAGATGGCAGTAAGATAAACCAACATGGAAAGAGAGATTTCCTTCCCCTTCTCTCTCAAGGAATGTTTCAGGAGTTTCAGCCCAGGCCTTGAGAGCAGCTCAGCCATCAGCTCCAGCCTCCTGCCTTCAGAAGACACGTTACCATCTCAGAGAACGCCCCACAGTTCACACATCCTCTCTCTTCCCTGGGCAAAAATACCCATTTTCCCCCAGAGAACCCCAGCTCACCCTCACCTTGAAGCCCTTATATTTTACTCCTTTGTGTCTAAGGAATACTGTCCTGTCTGGCATAAATACTAAACTAAGGCACGCCCTTATCTATAAAACTGGTGACTGCGTCTGCCAAGTCAAATAAAAAGTGCTTCTTCTCAAGGAATAAAAGCTAAAGAACACTGACCAATACAGAATCACATCTTTAACCATTCTAACAGCAGGTTTGCCCAGGGGGGTGAGGCTGGATCTGTTTTGTTCCCAAAGTTTCTACTGTTTGCTTCTAAGCCATCAACCTGCAATGGCCAGCAGGTCGCTCCAATCCATCCCCCCAGCTGGGTGCTGGTGGCAAGAGAACTATTTTTGCAGCTATCAAACTGAGGTCTGCCAGTCAGTGCTGACAACAGCCATCAGAAGGGGAAACTGCAGACACTTCCATGCCCTGAATAAAGAGCACATTTAAAAGCCTCCTCCTTCTTGCTGTCCCGGGGGAAGACTGCTCGCTCTGCTTCTCCCCGCTCCCCACACACACAAAGAATGGGCAATTATTCGTGTACAGCAAGTGTGCAGAACTGCAGCTTGGCATCTGTGTGTGGAGGGCACTGTGTGGGGCACAGGATTTGCAACCACTAGTTACAGAACAGTCTTCTTGTGCTGACAAGAAGAGCTCGTGGTGTAGGGCTGGTATAACCACCACAAGGTGCAGCTCTGACACCTCCTGGAAGCCTGACTGGGTAACTTTGGGAACATCTCCTCAGTGCTAAGCCAGCCTTGCTCAAAATTTATGTCCCAATGTATTACAAGACTTTCTAAGCATTTTCAAATCAAAAATGTAAGATAAATGAGATTATCTCTGGGGTCTCTTTCCCTGAACACAAACGAGATGCTGCTGCCATTTTCTGATTGAAAGAGCTGGTTATTTTTGGCATTCATTTCAGTGCCGTGCTATGAAGGAGCCCATTGTGGCCCCATATTAGGGCTGTAACATCATAAATGAATAAAACATCCTGGCCTTATTGCTGACACCAGCAACAGCTGCTCTCTGCAAAGAGACAGAGCATCTATTGAAAGGCAAGGACTAAGTGTGACAGGCTAAGCCAAGGTCTCCTCTAAACCTCTAATGCCAGTGTGAGAGAAGAAGAGAAGGCAGATTTGCAGATATCACTGGAAAAGCCCTTTAGGTGTTTACAGCTACACAAAAAAACCCCCCTGGTACCTCACCAGAAGCAAACACCTGCTTTATGAAAGATTTTGCCTATTAGTAGCAGAAAAATGAAGCATGCTTAGAGAGAAAGCTTTTAATTTTGGAAAAAATCTGTTTCTAGCACTGAAATGCATCAAGAGAGTGTGTTCTTCACAACTGAAAGACATGAACTCCCTTTTTTATACCCACTTTGTCTAGCTGGCATCGAGTCAAAGGCAGAGGATATGACTTCCTCAAGTGTTTTTCCCTTGAGATCTCACAGTACAAGCCGGTAGGAGTCATGTCCCAAACCAAATGTAGCAGAGCTGTGGAGCCCTTGAGTTTCCCAAAGATGATACAAATGTACAAGGATTAGAGGGAGAAAGAGGAACACACTCAGAAGAGAAAGCTACCACAGCATAACATCTAGAAGAGGGAATTAATTAATTAATAATTATAGGAAGCTCCCTAGCCAAGCACTCCCGAGCAGTGCATGGGCTTGTCCTTTTCTTACCTCCTCCCCATGTTCCTGCTCTTTCTGGAGTTTGATGAACAGGCTCTTGGGCTGAGCCAGTGCAGCTGCTATTAGAGGGTTTCTTGGCAGTTCCTCTGGCCTTCCCAGCTCTCGTGTTTCCAACTCTCTTCCAATTCTCATCCATGTTATTCAGGGGGTATTTACCCTTCAGGTGAATATACATGGGGATATCTGCATATGAGAGCAATTCCTTCCTCTCAGCTTAGGGCTGTAATAATTTCACTGTGAGGAAAACAAAGACCTAAAACCTTTCAGTTCAGGTGTTTGATCACTCTGCAGTTCCAGTGAGTTATTACAAAGCAGCACATGGAACAGGAATAACAAACACTGCTTGTAAAACTCCCAGGTAGGCTATCTACAAGATATATAAGCTTACAAAATATTTAAGCCTGCATTACTTACTACATCCAGATGGTTTTTAAAAAGGAGCATCAGCATTGCAAAAGAATTAGAACTCAGCATTCAGAATGTCTGAGACATAGGGTTTGTTTTTTTTTTGACACTTATTATTCCACGTCTGACTAGAGAACTGTGAAAGATGAATAAACATATTAATTTGTATGTGTACATTCTTTCTGTAACCAGCACACCAAAAAAAGCTCAATCTATTATGACAATACTGGGCTGCCAAGACAAGTATCACTGCTTGGTTCAAAGTTTATCAATAGTAAAACCTCCCCTTGATAAAAAGCAGCTGGGGAGCATTGTCCACTAAAAAAAAAAAACCAAAACAGCAATATTTCTATTACAAACAACTCATAGATAATGTAATATTTAAGGCCAGTTTTTACCTTGAATTTTTAACCAAATATTTTCCTGAACCCAGTGTGTGTGTCCTGAACTGAGCCTTCCTGCTCCTGGAACAAGGAAACACCCTATTTTTGACCCCTAATAACCGGACAGTCACTGAAATGAAAACACTATTATTTTAGGATCCAGATTATATCTCATTTTTCCAGAATTGACTCAACTCACTTGATTATCAGGCTAATTTGGTGAAGTTTGCATCAACAGGAACAGCTCAGTGATGTCATACCCAGGTGGACTCCCTTCTAATGCTGAACCAACTTACCTGCACAAAGGGGTTGTGCACCACAACCAGGCCCTTTAGACCCACAAGGACCCCCTCTGCTGCTCATCTGTGTTTTATTAGCTGAAATTAGTACTGCAAAATGCAAATAAGTAACACAAACACAATTTTGGCCACGGTTTAACCTATTTATATCAGGGAGGCAAATCAGCACTACACAAGTGAGTATGAGATGCAATAAACCAGCCTTTCAGACACAACACATAGAAAGCCATTCTCGTCCTCGATAACGATTAAATTACCTTTATTCCCATTTAAAATATACAACTTTGAAAAACTATGCAACGTACATTCAAATGAATTGCATTCCCAGGTGTCCTGACAGCCAGCAATCCCACTGCTGGCCAGTGTAACACAACAATCAACACTGTTTATTTATGGCCACGGGAGAAAAACCTGCATAAATAAATATTTCCACCTGATACTGCAGCTTTTCCTTAAGCACTTACATTTTAGAAGTCAAGTTTCTTGTGGGCCTCTTTCTCCCAAGTACTGCTTCTTGTTCCTAAAGGAGAAAACGAATTCCACAAAGATCCCCAAAAGGGGAAAAAAGGTCTAAGTCAGCTAATTTAGAAATAGCATTCAAGACACAAGAGTCAGAAATAACCATTGGAGCAGCTATTCCCACCCAAAAGCAGTTGGGGAAAGCTCTTTAAGAACGCCTGGACTCTTAAGGGCCTTTAAGGAGTAATTTCAAAGCTTCAGGGAAGTCGATACAAGTGGTATCTTTAGCACAACAATGTTGTTGCAGATGTTTCTGGGAGCGTGGCAAGGAGACACGACCTACATCACCACCACTGGGAAACCCTCATGGCAGGGACTGGATCCTTTGGGAAAGGCCATCCCGAGGGGTGGAGGCCTGACAGTGAGTGCTGCCCTCGGGAACACGGCCCTGCACAAGCTCCTGCTCCTGCCAGCGCTCCAAAGGCCCTCAGCAGCTTGGTACCACACCCTAACTTAGCAGAGAGAAATCAACACGGGTCTTTTAAAGTTGATAGTTTTTTTATTTACAGATTTATTGGCAAAAGGTGACGAGAAAGTTTGAAATATTTTAAACAGAGGGCACCATATTGTACTGTCTGATCTATCAGTTGAGAATCTTCAGCATCCAGCCGATCAAGTAAAGCTAATCACCACGGAAAGAAGCATCATCTGCATCAGCTCCATTACAGTGTCCTGCCTAAACACAATCACTAATAAAAATGCCATTTCTGTGAAGGATGAATACTTGGATCTTTATACTGTACCTGGTGTCAAATTGCCCACTTGCACAGCACTTAACACTTCTTACTTTTAGTTGAAAGTTCTAATCTCACTGCCTGCAAAGTCAGCTGTCGAGTAATTCTGACCTACTCTGAAAGTTTTACTGCGAGCATAGTCAAGACTGGAGTAGATGAGACCGAAGGAAAACATTCCTGGGATACCACGTGCCCATCATATTCAGCTGCATACCCATAAACATCCTGTTTAAGAATTCTATTCAAAAAGGAGAAAAAATGTAGTCAGTTTTCACTTTGTCACATAGATTTAATTCCTCACTGGAGCTTTTTAGTTCATTCTTCTAAATCAAGAGTGTTTAGTTCTTCTTCTAGTTCATCCAAGTCCTCTCCAGTAAACAGATTTTCATCAACTGGGACAGCATCAATTACTCCATTTTCCAATTCCCCATCTCCATCATTGTCTTCCTCTAAATCGTTTTGCTCGCTGCTGTTTACATCACCACCAGAAGCTTCACTTAATTTATTATCTGAAAATAAACACAACTCTTAGGCACTTCAGTGTCACAGGTTTCCTAATCACCAGTTCGAATCCACAGTCCTACTGAACTTGCTTTCATCAAGTTTTGAGACTGTGTAGAAGTTGAAATTTTAAATTTGTTTATATTTGAAATTCATGCAGACTTAGATTGGTTAAACTGCACATGCCTGATTAACATGCAGGTCTGGATAATCAATTATGAAAACAGGTTAAAAAAAAGAATAACTCCAAGCCCCACACCCTCAAACTGCTATTTTCCATAAACACTACCTTGAATTTAAACTTGAATTTAAGAAAGTAAGTGCATATAAGCCTTTCCTTTAGTAACTACATGACATGTACCACTAACAGAACCGAATTATTGGTTTAAAAAGGGTGGGGGATTAAAACTGCCATCTCCCTTTTGGCAGTCTCCCAAGTAACACCCCTGTGTTAGTGATGCCCCAGGGCAGAGCTTACCATCCTTTTCTACCAAAGTGTAGGTGCTGAACCGCTCAGGACTAGCCACTGTAATCCCAGTCTCCTCCACGGCCTTGGGGACATACAGGTTCAAATCCACATCATTTATGCACACAGGGTCTTCCATCTGAAAAAATAAACCAGGGTGCTCTGCATGAATTGCTTTTCCACAGAAGTCCTCACTTCTGCACAACTGCAACAGCCTTTTCCACCTTCAGCACGGACATTCTGATCAAATCTACTCTGTGACGGTATTAAATTAAGAACTGAACTTATTAATTGCACTCTAAGAGTTCTCAAATGAAAAGCTTTCAAATTTGAATGCTACTGAAGCGTTACTTGATTTAATCCTGTTCTTTACCTCATCATCATCTCCTGCTCCCTGAACATAATGGGTGTCATCTGCTTCTTCATCGTCTGCATCAACCAGCTCTGGCCGGAACTCAAACACTTCACGTCCACTAATCTGTTCACAGGAAAAGAAACCTCCAGTTATCACTTCAAGGAACTTATACTACTTAAAAAAACCCCAAACAACCCAAACCACAAAAAAAAGACATGGAAAAGAAAAGGATCCAAAAAACCCACCAAGCAATTCCAGGCCAGCTACCTTATTACGAAGCTGTATTTACTCCCTCTTCTTACATTAAGAAATGGACTGTAGAACTTACCACCAATGCTTTGCCAGCTTTAAAATCTGCTTTCCTCCTCTCCATGTCTTGCTCAGCCTTATCAATTTTTTCTTGTCTTTTTCTTCTCTTCCAGGCAATAAAACACTCTAGAGTAATTTTGGTAACGTTTGGTCCTAAGGCAGCACGCTGTCAAGGAAAGAGACTGATTAATGCTAGAAACTCTTTCCAAAAAGGCTACAACAAATCAAAATGTAATTACACTTGCCCAGAAAGTAATAGAAAGCATTTCTTTCTGATTCTTTCTTGACTCTTAGCACTGTCAAACCTGCACCATCATCTTATTGTTTGACTCAACATGTGATTTTCCAATTAGTGAGACACGAAAGTTGACAGGGAAAGTGAAGGAGGAGAGAAAGCAACAATAACAGCTCAGTTCTTGTCACAACCACACTGCCAAGCAAGTGGGACAGAAATAAGCAGAGCAGCAACACCTTCAGAAGGCCTTGTTCTCTCGGGTGTTGCTTCCCCATTGGAGAGTTATGGGAGAACTCAGGAGATCGAGCTGGGGATGTGAAAGGCCCCAGAAGCCTTTGTTGGTAACAGATAAATGAGAAATAGCAGTAAGAAATAGAAGCCTCCTAAAAAAAGCACAAGCAACAGCTGCACATGCTGCTATAGTTAGTTAGTTCTATTCACTAGGTAAACAGCTCATACAGCTGTAACAACATCTTAATTAATTAGAAATTAGCAGGTTCTTTCCACTTGCCTCCTCAGAGCAGAGCAACAGTAAAAACAACTACCACCGAAAGGTACCTGTCTGACAACTTTACCTCTTTTTCTATTAGGTCTTCTAAGGAGATTTCATCTTGCTTTTCCTCCTTCTTTTTGTCCTTTTTTAACACGAAGCCTGGGGGCAGGGCGTGGCGATACATGCAGTTGTCTCCTCCTCCGGGACAGACCCAAAACCAGCCGTATTTGTTGTTTTCAATGGCATCAAGGAAATATTTGCAGACCTGGATAAAAACAACAGTGGTTAGCCCTGTATTCTCTTATCATCCCCAGCGTTTTCCACCACAGAAGTTCAGGAATCCAAAAATCAGCTGTACTCAAAACAGAAGGAACAGGTGAAATGCGTTACTATTAAAAAAGTAAATATAGAAGTGCAACTGATTATTAGAATTATTAAAATAAAGACAGACCACCTACTATTTGGGTTTTGGGTTTTTTCTTTTCCGCCTCACCATGCTTCTTGTTCACCACTTCTTCCAGCTTCTTCTCATCCCAGTTGTCCATTGTATCTAGAAAAAGACAACAGATGGTTTCACAAAAACTCCAGATACTGAACACTGCTGTCAAGCTGCTTTTCTGCCTAGTAACAGTTCTAGCATGCAATTCTTCTATTTTAGCTAGCTTATACAACGGAAAATAAATGCAGGCTCTTCGAGTTCGCAAATTCCCCAAGGCCGCCCACAAGACAATTTCTCCAAAAGCCTTAGGAATTTTATGTTTTGAAATGCATGGAACGTGTTTCAGTTAAAGACTGAGCAGTGTGTCATTCCACCTGTACAGGACTCAGCATGGACAGGGGAAAAGAAAGAAAAAAACAAAGGTAAGGTTGGAGGGCAATGTCCAGAAGGTCAGGTCATATAACCTGAGCATCAAAACAGATAGAGAAACTCCAGTAGCTCATCAAACATTCTGCTTTTGCTCTTAGGAAACAGCAACTACCAGAAAGATCAAACGCTGTACAGCTTGCTGCTTGCACAGCATAATCCATCACACGCCATTCAGCATCACCTTCTGAAGAAGGTCTAAAGAACACCTGTGGACACGCTTGGAAAAGGCAGTTTGCAGTGGTGCAAGGACGGGCTGCCTTGGGCTCTTCAGTATCACAACCTCGACACAGAAGACCCTTAAGGTTAAAATTCCAGTTTCAGAAGCAGAGCAGCTGGGCAGTCATTTTCTAAAAGCGCTCTACCTTTCTCAAGGTCTTCATCTCTGGCGTCAATGTAGACACTCCGCTTCTCGCACTTCCTCTCCAGAGACAAATCATGAGAAAACTTGCACTTGTCCCCTTTAGTGCACTGGCCTTGCTTGAAGAAAGCACACACTACAGATTTGGGGTCAGCACCTGAGTGGAGAAAGGGTTTATATTTTAATACTATTTTTTAGCAAAAGCTATATATCAGAAATCCCAAGAAGAATACCTAGGATTTATGGAGAATGAAAATGCCTTCTTAAAATAACGTCATACTTTCTTTTATTGCAAGATATTTGCATTAAGTATCAAAGCTGGCACTTGACTATTTAAAGAGATATGGACAGCAGTGTGCCAGAGCAAATTATTCATTTACATAATACAACATATAAGAGATCACTGGGCAACTTCTTCCCTATTCACAGTAAAGCACCTTCTGAATGTTACCAAGGAAACACTAGAAAAAAATAACAATTTAACCTGCACCCCTTCATACCACTTTCTTCAGTAACAGAAATAAGATGGTTGTTCACAGTCCCCAAAATAAACAACTTTTTATAACAGAACAAACAATTCACTCAATCTAACTACAGTATAAGTAAAAATCATACCACTAAGGAATTATTTGAGCTTTGGGAGGCGATCAGGAAAAGCAATGAAAGCAGGTAGAAATGCATTTATTTAGACATGGCTAAATGAGAAATAAATGACTTGCAACACAAGTTTTCTGTGAAGGCAACAGTTACCTTACATTCCTTGCACTACCTGCATGTTCACACTCCCCTGAGCAGACAGGCTGCTTTAAACACCAGCACACACACACACACAATCATGCCACACCCCCAGAAACATCAAAGTATCTTCAGCTGCCCACTCAATATCACCTGGTGGTTTTGCAGGGTTATTCTACCCCAAATAGCTCTATGAATAAGAATATAAAAGTAGAAAAATCAGTCATACCTTTGCTAATTTTCTGTGCAGCAACCACAGGCTTGAAGAGCTCATTTAATTCTTGCAGCTCCTTTTTCTTGTCTTCTTTTTTTAATTTCTTCTCACTTTCCGTTTGAGCAGCCTAGAACAACCCCGAACTCGAAGTTACAAATGCAAAATCAGAATGCCAGGACTCACTTCCCAAGGACTGTGTGTTAAAATAGCCAGTCAAGTTTATGGACAAGGAAAAAAACCCGACTGTGCCTCACCCTTCTTGGATAAGCCAGAAACACTGTTAGATCAGGTATGAAAGGAGGTTGTAGCCAGGTGGGGGGCGGTCTCTTTTCCCAGGTAAAAAGTGACAGGGGGAGAGGAAATGGCCTCAAGCTGCACCAGAGAATGTTTAGATTGGTTATGGGGGAAAATTCCTTCACTGAAAGGAATGGTCAAGCATTGGAAGAGGGTGGCCAGGGAAGTGGTGGAGTCATCACCCCTAACAGTGTTCAAACATGTGTGAACATGGTTTAGTGATAACACAGCAGAGTTCACATCAATCTCAGAGCTCTTCTCCACCCTTCATGGCTCTGTGATTGTTTGACTCTGATCCTTATGGGAAGCTGGTGGGACAGCACCACTGTACGAGTATGGAGGGGACTTTTTTCTGAAATACAGTGCAATATTAAAAAAAGGAGCTTTGTTCTTGGGGTGCATTTCCCAAAAAATACACCAAATTGTTTCAGGAATCAGCAGCTTGGCCAGTTTTCACACTGAAGGTTAGCAAATGCTATTTTATATAACATGCAGACCCATGTGTGTCAACTATAGAGAGTGATACTTCAGAATGCTTTTGTTTCACCCCAGGGTTCTAGAGGCATGAAGATGAAAACAAACAAACAAACAAAACCACCACCAAACACCAAGGCCAAAACTCTGACAGCATTTTCACTTCAGGACACAAGGAAAATTGCTTTAAAACGCTTTCTTTCTCAGGCACAGCCCTAAGTGAAAGCTATTTCATAAGGTAAGAGAGGTATAATAGGGTGTAAGAATTTGGTTCTGCCATCCATCAGTCAATAGCTACCAGCATTTAAGAGAGAAATGATTTCAGGCTGGCTCATTTACACACTGGTATTCCTACACCTGCCACAGATCCAGGGATATCATGGACAAGTTTCAGAACTGCTTGAACACCATCGGTGTTTTTCAAGTGACATCAAGGAATCTCTTATGAGTCCTCATGACCTCAATATCAGCTTTACTTTCCAAATTGTACCTGCCATCTGTCAGTTCATCCTTCTGTCGCTCAAGGAATGCATTATGACATCATGAGTTTAGCTGGCACAATGTAATTATTCTGCAGGCTTATTCACAGAGCAGAAAGCCCTGTAAATAATTAACCACCAGCCTCCCCTGCACTGTGAGAATAAGAGACCTGCATAATTCCCATTATAACTATTTCCAATAAATCCATGTTTTCTGATGAGTATAATCTAACCATTGTACCTCATTTTATTTCATCCTACAGAAGAGCACAGTAGCAGACAGAGGCTCAGAATTTCAGTTTCTCAGACCAAACAGTTCAGCAAATAGATTCAGACTTGTTTCCACTTAAAATTACAATAAATACCTCAGTGAGTGGAAACACAAGCACATACAAGCCTATACTTTTTTTATCTTCTCCCAATTCCAGTTTTAGTAACAACTATTCTTTTTTTTTTTCATAATTGCTCCCTATTTCTCAGGTAAGGTGGGAATTAAAGTGAAAAAAGAGAAAGAAGGTACAACTGTACTGGGTTGACAGGCGGTATCCACAGTTTAATTTCAGGCATACCTTAAATTTAATTCCATTACTATCAGAACACTACATAGGAAAAAACCCCACCCCCTTTAGCTGAGTTTGGTTGGGGTGCATTTGTTTCCCCTTTTTTATAAACAAAAACTAAAACAAAACCCCAGATCAATAACAAACCCTCCCACTCTGTACCACCTTGACACAGGTACAGAATTCTCAGCTAAACAAGCTTTGTGAGCTCATTTATTAGGGCAGTCATAAAAAATGTGTGTTAGTGACATCTGTGCCAGTCACAACAACACGAGGCAAAGAACAGCTCAAATTTTTTCCCCCTCAGTACAGGACCATCTGTATGAACACTGCAACATGATCTGACTACACAGAAGGAAACACTGGACAGTAAATAATGCTTACCTGGCGTGGATTTTGCTGACCAAACTTCACCTGGTGAGTCACAGCCTTGATGAACTTCTGCTGCTTTGCACCTTTTTTATTCTTTAGGCCAAATGTTTTGTCCTAAAGCAAGAGATAAACACAGCCACGTGGATTACAAAGCAAAACCAAAGCCAACAACAAAAAACCCCACCCTTGCCGCTCCTTTCAAGTTTTCAGTGAAACACAGATCATTTCCTCCAGCAACACAAGCAACCCAAGAAACCCCTGCATTAAAAAAACCTGCATTAAAAAAACCTGCATTAAAAAAAACCTGCATTAAAAAAACCTGCATTAAAAAAAACCTGCATTAAAAAAAACCCTGCATTAAAAAAACCCTGCATTAAAAAAACCCCTGCATTAAAAAAACCTGCATTAAAAAAACCCTGCATTAAAAAACCCCTGCATTAAAAAAACCTGCATTAAAAAAACCAACTGTGCCTTGGATTTGATACCAACTTCGGGTTTTTTTTCCCTTCCAGAAAAAAGCAGCAGGTGCTCATCCAGTGATAACACTTCAGTTCAAACACACTTTTGGAAGCCCTGACAACCCAAAAGTCTAGGATAAAATAATTAGAGAATAGACAGCTCCGAGTTTCCAGTGTCACCCTGCCTTCACTTACAGCATATCCCCCATCAACACCAGCTGGTCTTCTGTTACTTTGTGCCAATCTGAGGAGTCAAAACAATCACTCGGGAAAGAAAATCCATCATTCACACACTTGATTTCCACTGTAAACGCCACATGGAGGATATAATCCCTCTGCAGTTGAATTATGTGGTTGAGGTGTTGTTAAGAACCAGGGCAAGCTTTTCCCCTTTCAGCTGCACGTCTTTGTAACAAACAGAATTTTCCCGTGCAGCTGGATTCAGCAGCTGGATTCAGCAAGAACCTCTGCAAGCCCAAAGCCAGGAGAACACAGGACCAACTGCTCTCACCTCGTATTTCCCAAGAGCACAGGAACAACATCCTGCAGCCTCAGGTGTAAAACAACACTCACACTGTGCAGATGTTCTGCCCTAACAGCTGAGCAGCTACGGTCTTTCATGCCAACAAATTCAGGTAAATATGTAATTGTCTATAACTGCTCTGCTTGTGCCCTCAACATAAATTCTTCCGTTGTCAGCATAAGGTTGGTGTGTGACTGTCCTAATAACCAAGACACACAGCCACAGGTACCCCTCCTGCAGTCTTTTTAAAATAAAAACACCTCGTCACACGGGTCAAATTGTAACGAGAAGCCGCGGAACAAACCACACCCGTGTTTTCAAGCTGAGCGAGGAATCAACCACAGGGTTGTGAGGGCTGGGAAGGACGCTCCGGAGAGCGCCCGGTCCAGCCCGCAAGGACACAAAGCGACACCTGGGCGAGCCGGGCTCGGGGCACACGGGAGCACGCAGGGCAGCGCCGCGGCACCCCCGCAGCACCCATCGCCTGGCTGCGGGGCCGTCCCGGGGCCGCTCCAGCCGGGGCAGCCGCCGGCAGCGGCAGGGCCGGGCCCGGGGCCTTCCTCACCTCGATGATCTTCTCCTTCTTCTTCTGGTCCGCCTTCTTGCTGCCCCCCGCCGGCTGCTGCTGCTTCTTGGGGGGCATGGCGGGGCGGGCAGGCCGGGAAGGGGCCGGGAATGGCTGAGGGAAAGGCCGGGAAAGGCTCGGGAACAGACCGGGAAAGGGCCGGGCCGGGCAGCGCCGCCGAGGCGCAACGGGAGCCGCGGGGCACGCCGGGAAGGCGCGCGGGCAGTGACGTCACTGCGAGGCGCTCCAGCCTTGCCGCCGTGGGTGCAGTTTCATCTCTTGGAGATTAATTAAAGTTTTTTTCACCGGGTTTAAACAGTTTCTGGTACAATCTGAGTCCGAAAAAAATTTATTTTAATAACGAGGCGTGTTTTTTAAAATTATCTCGTGGGCCAGAGGTAAAAACCAGGTTGTTTTAGTCAGTCACACGCCGCGATTCCACGGCAGCCAGGCTGTAATGTTTGCATCAAATGTGTTTTATTTGTGGCGTAATTCATCGTTATCTTCCGACCCGAGGGAAAAACCAAAAATATTCCCGCGTTGTTGCTTCCTCTCGTTGTGATCTGAAAGAAAAATAGCGGAAATGAGGATTATCATAAATAAAGCACATAATTAAAATATTAATCTATGTAAGCCTAAAGTGCAGTATTTTATTTCTAGGACGTTATACAATTGGGTTTTAATCTACATCCAGCATTACATTTAGAACCAGTTGAGGTTAGAATTATGAGCAAACACAAGTTAGAAATATCTACAATATTTCATTTTAAAAATCCCAAATAACCTTAGAAATATGAGGCTCAGCATAACTCAAGCTTCCTGTGCTTTTTCCACTTTCTTTGCCTTACCTAGACAATCATTCTAGTTCTAACGAACATGAATCCTTTTATGAATAAGCTGAACGAATGACAAGTGAATAATTAACTTTAAGTTATGGGTGTTTATGGTTTAAGTTATGGTGTTTATGGGTGGAGACCAAGAGCCCGTTGTGCTTTACCAACATTGTGTTTCACTACGGTACAGGTGCATGTGCCACAATTAAAAAAAAAAAAAAAAAAAAAAAAAAAAAAACCCCAAAAAAAAAGCCTGGTTTAATACACTGTACTGTTCTTCCCCTACAAATAAAAATCTAGCCCTGTATTTTTTCTAAGTGAGAAAATTAAGCAACTATGAACCTACAGTGTTGGGCTTGTTGATCTTAAGCGTCTTTCTCCAACCTAAATTATTCTGTGAAAGTGAGTAAAGGTTCAAACCTGTCAGAAAAAGCCTGGCAAAGACAACATGACACTGTTTCTTCTTTCCAAAGGCCCTCTCTAATATAGCCTAAAAAAGATACAGTGACATCATCAAGTCACCCCACCTTTCCCCAAGCTGCCCCTGCTTTCAGGGGAGGGTTTTATAAGCTAAAACCTGCCTTAATTGGTTAAGTCAGCTGGAGGCGCTCTGGCTGATGATGGGAGCCACCTGCATAACATTATGGCTAAATTCATACCCCGCGGGAAGGGCAGGGTATATAAAGTGTTCTTGGGGCAGCAGTAAGTGGTTTGTGGGTCCTACTAGAAATTTAGTGGATCGTGGTGGGATCTCCTGCCCTGGAGAAACCTGGAGAAAATCCTAGAGAGACCCCTCCTGGAGGCAGAGCTGTGGTGCTGGGTGAGTCATTCACACCTTGTGACCCAACCAGGGTTTCAGACTACTAACGTTCTGGTTTTCAATCTGTTCACCCTCAAAATGTTGAAGGCCGTTACAGGAACAGCCAGGAGGTGTCACAATTGCCCCACGTTCCAAGGATGTGTCACAGGAAATGGTGCTGCTCCTACAGTTTTACTTTCCTCATTTACAGAGCGATCACAGGGGCTCATAGGCTGCAAAGTCACGTTCCTGGAAAGTCATATGGTCAGAATGTTGTTGATCCGGTGTCAGTGGTGTTTGGCTTAGAAGCTCTTTGTAGGACTGCCCTTTCTAAGCTGATGGATATTAGAGGTATTAACAGCACTGGATGTTGCAAAGAAAGCATTTTCATGAACACTGACAACCTAAGTTGAAAATTCTGATCTTTAAAGGTTAAAATGGGGGGGTTTAAATGTTCAGAAAGTCTAAATACCTCATGATTTCCTAACTTACAAAACCGGAACTCCTGTGGTCCTTTATCCCACAGTCAAATGTGTTAAGAGCTGGCTAAGAATTGCTTACAGAACTGGGTGCTATGGGAAACAGGATCATCTGCCAAGACCAGCAGAGCACCCCTCTGAGTGCTTTCATTGTTCAGCTGGCAATAATCATATATTGATGAATATATTATGGATGACCAAAATAACCAGTTTGGTAAATGATGCAGTTGCTATGTGGAATAACTGGACCACTGAGTGAGTGAGATTTGTTCTTCGTAGAAATCTTTCGGCTGTAAGTGAAGAAAAGCAGACTTAAAGTGAAGTGTCTCCATTAACAAAGCCCAAATCCTTGTACATGGAAATATGGGGGCAATGGTTTGCTAGAGCTCAGAATTATTCCCTCTCGTGTTTCCCAGTGTAGACATACATCGATAGTGAGTGCTCAGAACTCTCTTTGGCTTTACACCCAGTTGGAATAAATTTAGGTGGCTTGGAGCTAATTTAAAATGTTAATAGAGTAATAAAATTCTATGTTTTACTTTGATAGCCTCAGAAATCATATCCAGTAGTTAGAGCTTGCTGCATGTGTGCATGTGCTGTGTGTACACAGACCTGTTCTGAGCTGGACAGGGAAAGAAAGGGAAATGTGTACACTTTCTGTTGATGTCTTTAGATTTCTTTTTTGTAATGCAAATGGGTTTTCAGGTGCATTTAAGCACTGGAATAAGCCACTGGGCTCTTGTTTAAAATGTGTTCTATTTGGGAGCATTTGTGAGCTTCTTTGAGAGTGTGAATTAGGTGAACCAGCAACCCAGTAATGACATTCTTGAGTGAGCTGCAATCTGTCTTTTCTTTTTACTTAATACTGTAAGGACGTTAATTTTCCAGCGATAAGTTTTCAAGCTGACTCTTCATTGATCTCAATATCAGAATGATAGAACAAGTAGATCTAACTTGGTCCTGTTCTGATAGCTGTAAAGTGCAGTGGGTGGATCAGCAGTGACAGAAAATTTATTCCAATAGAGGGGCCATTTCAAATGGTGTTGTATGTTATGAGGTTGAGGGAACAATAGTCATGAGTTGTTGCACTGAAATTAGCTGTCAAGATGCTCCAAATCAATGAGGAGCCATCCCCTTTTCCCTCAATGCAGGAAAATTGAAACCAAGATGGTAGAGGAGTGTCCAGAGAGTAATGAAGAAGTTGAGAGTGAGAAGTGTGGGTTTTGGCTGAGTCTTGACTTTTGCTTTCTAGTGAGAGGCTGTTCCTGTGGTAACCATGGATTCACCATTTGGTTGCCAGGAGGCATCTCTGGTGGGAATCTTTGGGGTGACAGGCAGTTGCTATGGTAGCAGTGGGTGACTGGAATGTTTGGGGTGACAGCCTGTCACCAACCTCTTGTGCTGGGCATTCCCCAGAGCAGCCTCGTGGCTGAGTGTGGAGGGAGCCCTGAGGAGGCTCCCCAGGCACAAAATGGGATCTCCTGCCCCGGGGAGCCCCTTCTGCAGACAGGGCTGTGGCGGTGGGTGAGTTACTCTGACACTGTGACCTCACCAGGATTTAAAACTCCTAACTCTCTGCTTTTTCTACCTGTTTACCCTTAAAATGTTGGATGTCATTACAGGACCAGAAATAAGGTGTCATAAGGTATCGCCTTTTTGTACCAGGAAGGTGAGACAGAGAGCAAAGGAGATAGTTTCCAGCTATATAATGAAAGTAGTGAGAGTTTAACAAAGGAATTTGAGACTTTAGGATTCAGAGGGAAGTTTAACAGGGGAGATCCAAACAGATATGAACCTACACTTCATTCCCTGGTGAATTTTGTCATGTGACGCATTCTTGGAACTTGATATATTGTACCTGGAACAGGACTGGTGCCAGTAGAGGGATGTGGAAGGAAGGTGTCTCCAGAAACAGTGGCATGGTTTTCTCTGGATTTGTGCTAGTGTAGCATCAGCTCCCTGTCTGACATAACCCAATTGCACCCTGGATCCTCTCAGATGTTCTGTTGATGTTTCAAGGTTTCTGCTCTGGGTAAAATCCTTTCCCTTTTGGGGAGTAGAGGGAAAGGGAAGGAAGCAGGTAGCTGCCAACACCTTCTCAATCTCTCAGCGTGAGAGGGCGGGCGAGAGATGGGAAGGACCCCGCTAGCCATGTTAGTGGAACGGACGTGGCAAAGCCCCATTTTCCTGCACTCCGGGCTTCTGGGCTGGGCAGGATTTTGATGACTGTGTTGTGTTGGGAACGGTCTGTGCCAAGGAGGAGCCGGCCACAGGCACGTCCATGTGGGAGCACAGCGATGGGAGGCTGTTGTTGCCCAGTCATGTCCATGCGGGAGCACAGCAATGGGAGGCTGTTGTTGCCCAGTCATGTCCATGTGGGAGCACAGCAATGGGAGGCTGTTGTTGCCCAGTCATGTCCATGTGGGAGCACAGTGACAGGAGGCTGTTGTTGCCCAGCCGCGCTCCGGGCCGAGGCGGGCGCCATTTTGTGGCGCCTCCCTCCTCCTTCACCTGAACTTGCAAGAGCGGAATTCGATTTTTTCCAGGGCCAGCCTACAGCCACAGAGTGTCTGGCTACGGGGATTGCAACCTTGGCGAGGGTGAGTTGTTGCAGGGCCGGCAGAGAAGGGCTGTGTGTGCGGGTTGTGAACAGTTCCCCTCAGAGAGGTCTCTCCGCTGGCCGCCCGCCCTGAGGGGAAAACGGGCGACATGTTGTACCCTTGGGCTTCTGAAAGCAAACACCGACGTCAAGGTGCCAAAGACCCGAGCTTTCGAGGGAAATAATTTTAATCTGTGCTTGCATCTGTTTGTTGTGTTAGAATACCACCTTTTTTGGGGAGTTTCACATCTGGTTAGAGGCATTCCTTTACACAGGAGGGTGAGGGAAAAGGTGGAATCGGAGGCCTGAGAGGCAATTCAGTTGAGATCAGCAGGCATCTCTTACTCTTTAAATCCTGTTCCTTGACAAGAACGTTGCCTTTTCCCCACAGAGATGCTGGAGTCAGGACTTAAAAGAGCATCTTGTTGGGCAGTTGGAAGGAGCCATAATTGTTAGAATACTCTGTCCATTGTTAG